GACCCCCTAACATGCACACATCTGTGCCAGCATGGCAGGAGCTTCTGGCTGCAATGGCAGGTGGCGGCCCTGCCATTCATACCTAATGAGGCACAGGAGCTTGCCTTCTGCTCAGGATGCCCTGCTGCCCTTCATCATTCACATTAGATGTCACAGGCTTTGGGCTTTATGACTTCTTCCTTCTGCATATTAAGTGGCTTCCTGCAGCAACCCTTCCAAGTCCTGTGTTGAGGAATGAGAGACCTAGAAAGGTCTTTCTCATGGTGCCAGAAAGCCCCTCACATTCTTCTTGTCTCAAAGTTGTGCATGTCATTGGACACAAAAACAAGGAAAAAAGAGGATCAGGGCTAACTTCTTACCACTCTATGCAGACCCACACCCAGGTGCTCGGACTCTGCCCTTGCTTGTTCTCCTAAGACCACCCAGGACTGCATACTCCCTGTAAACATCAGTAAGATTTATCAAAGGAGGCTCCATTCTGCTGATGGATAGGAGAGCCTCAATGTGTCTGCAAGACTGACATTACTTTCTGAAAGGCAGTGAAACACTTTTAAAATGGAAGCTGTCCATTGCTAATCTGAGATTAGCATCTGATTATGCAAAGTAGATTTCCCTTCCTCATCTCTCTCCCTCTCCCCTCTTTCTCTACTTCCTTTTCATTCTTTTTCTCCTGGGTCTACTTTCCCTTAACCTTTCATCTGGGTGCTCTCTATATTTGCCAGTGAGGGATGCTGGATACTCTATAATCTGAAATCCAGAAGTGATAAGAGGGTGCAGTTGCTATTTCAAATACAAAGAAGCATGGGAGAAGCACTGTCTTCAGCTGGCTGCTCTTCCTCACATTGGTGTGGCTGTCTCCTGTGTGACCTTACACCCTGGCTCTTACTGCTTACATCCTTGCTTCCTGGATGCCCAGCTGGCCCGCCCCTGCCTTTATCCCTGGCTGCTCTGTGCTCAACATGCTGGGGCCAGTGTCAGACGTGATTGAAAGGCTGGAAGTCTGCCTGCCAAAGAAGCCTTAGCCTCACCTTCCCATTTCCCTGTTCTCCTGGCCCAGCAGTCAGGTACGAAAACAACAGTGCCCTGGGTTTACACAGAGCTGCTCATCCAGGAAATCTCAAAACACTTTCGCCAGCCAGTCTGATTACACTCATTTTTTCTCGTGGAGGAAAAGTGTATTTTCTGAAAGGCAAGTTGATTGCAAAACACAGAAACTGCAGGATGGGCCCGGCTGCTCTCCAAGGGCAACCTGGGTCACCTCCTGCCAGTCCTGCCCTATCTGGTGGATGTGGGGAGTCAGACAGTGGAAAGTCCTAAGCCAAAGGGCTTTACAGGAGTCTAGCCCTGAGGCCACACAAAGAGGAAGGACAAGACTTCCCTGTACAGTAGTTCTTGTTTTGCTGGTGAAGTGAAAGATATTTATGAGACCTTACGAAGTCTGACGCTTCTATTCTCCCCATTCCAATTCAGTTAAACTCCATAATCCTAAAAGAGACATTTATCACCAGCGGCTCAGCATTTCACCTGATTGTTATTCTTCAGTGACTCCAGGCAGCCTAGGGAAAATGTCAGTCTTCCTTTTCCCTTTTATATTGGCATAAATACTCCTTTGATCACTTCCCTACTGCAGCTCTCCCATATAGGGAAGGAGGTCTGTGTAGTCTGGGTGAAGCCAAGGAATAAGCCAAAGAGAAGAAATGCGAGGAAGATGAGGGGGAACCAGAGAGAAAAGCAGCAGCTGCCAAAGGGGAGAGAAGAGAGGAAGAGAAATGAGCAAGGAAAGAAGCAGGAGGAGCAGAGGAGGAGAGGAGAGGAGGAAAATCTATTGTACTCGCAAGGATCACTCTTGATTCTATGCCAGGAGTTTTAGTCACTGAATTAATCTGCTGCAGCTACCATAACAAAGCACAACAGGCTGGGTGGCTGAAACAACTGAAATTCATCTTTTGCCATGCTGAAGGCTAAAAAATCCCAAGATGGTGTCAATAGTGTTGATTTCTCTTGAGGCCTCTCTCCTTGGTTTATAGATGGTGTCTTCTCTGTGTGTCCTACTTAAGTCTTCCATGGTGTGTATGTCCTAATTTTTATATAAGGACAACAGTCATATTGGATTAAGGCCCACACTAATGACCTCATTTTAATTTAATTATCTCATTAAAGGTCTTATTTGCACATACAGTCACATTCTGAAATATTGAGAGAGATTCTGCATACAAATTTAGAGAGGTTGCAAGCAGATACATTCTACTCCTTATAAAACCTGTCAGATATAAGAATTATCCCCATTTTAAAGATATGAAAACAACAGACATATACTAGTTATTGCAAATAAGGGAAACCATGGGACCTATGTTTCTTTGGGCCTGGCTTGCTTCAGTTAATATAATTTTTTCCAAGCCTTTCCATTTCCTAACAAGTGGGGCAATGTCATTCTTTCTGATGGAGGAATAGAATTCCATTGTGTATATATACTACATTTTCTTGATCCATTCATCTACTGAGGGGCATCTAGGTTGGTTCCATATTTAGCTGTGGCAAATAATGTTGCAACAAACATAGTTGTGCTGGTAGCTTTCGTGTGGTCTTGTTTGTGATCATTTGGGTAACTGCCCAAAAATGGGATTGCTGGGTCATAGGGGAGCTCTATGTGGAGTCTTTCAAGCAGAAAAGGTCAGATAAGTTGATGTTAGGTGAAATGCACCCCAAGATAAGGACTCAGTGGTTTTTGTTTCTTGCTATTGTTTTTAACATATTTATAAGGTGATTTTTTGTTGCTTTGTATGACCCTCCCCCATGGTATAATCTCTGTTTTCACTGAATTTGATGCTGGTATAATTTGGGGAGGGGAAGGGGAAAAGCAAATTGTTTCAATAGGGATACAGGTGGACCCACTGCAATAATGAAATGTACAACATGCTATGTTGAACTTTACAACTTGGGGGGGGGGGAGGAGGGGGATGGGAGGGCAGGGATAGGAAAGGGAAACAAAGGAGGAGGCAACAATGCTTGATAAGAAATGTACTCATTACCTTGCCCATGTAATTGTAACCCCTCTGTATTTTCACAATAAAAAAAAAAAACAGCAACATAAGCAAGATGCGGCAACAAGCTCAAAGTCATTCAGCCAATAGAGATGGAAAAAGCACCAGGCCAGCTGTGTCCAAGCTAAGCTCAGTGACTACATCATACTACCTGTGGATCCAAGAGAGATGGCCCACAGGTGATCAAGAAGGAACTTGACCTTAGAGCCATACCACTCCTAGCTTCCACAGCCACCCAATGACCATACACAGCATAGCATGTCTTCATTTCAGATTCCTCTATTGCAGACAACTGGTCTTCAAAATGCATGTAGGATATACAAAGTCATGGTGACAACAAACTATCCCTTTATTTCAGTCATTTCCTGTGGTGCACACGTGTGTTTGAGGGTAGAGGCAAAAATCAAAGACAGATATCTAGTTATTGCTTCTTCTTATAGCTTTCAGCATACACACACATTCCAAAACATGAAATCTGATTAAGATTAGTTGAGGTTGTGTGTAAAGACCATGATGACGTTTTGATTAGACACCATCTTGAACTGTATTTGTTTTGTTGCCCTCTAGAGGATGAATTATTGGAGATGAGTAATTTCTTCAACCTCTCCTTGTCTCCATAGGGCACAGCATTGTGCTGGCATGTAGTAGACATCTAGAAGAGTCTTGGAAAAGCTTGTGGAAAGAAGTCTTTATAGATCCACAAATAAACCTTCCAATTCAAATGCATAAATGATGGGATTAATAGCATTGCGGTGTTCTCTCTGCCAGAACAGCTTTTAGCTGCTGCGAAGAGGTGGGATGGCTCAGTTCCAAAAACTCTCCTTCAACTACTGGACTTTGGTTGTGTTGCAGTATTGGAGATTGAACTCAGAGCTTATCTAGACCATTCTACAGTCCCAGTCCTTTTGTTTTTAGCTTCCCCCCCCTCAAATAGTGTCTTATGCTTTTGCCCAGGTTGGCCTCAAACTGTGATTTTCTTACCTCTGCTTCTCGAGTATCTGGGATTAAAGGGTACACCCTCACGCCCAGTCCAAGTAGTGGACTACTAAAGATATGATTTCTCATGGAAGTGGCAGAAAGATGGACCTGGCTGCTCAAGTAAACTTCAAAAGGCTGCTAGTACCCTGTCTACCTGCATCTCTTTGACTTCAATGGAGAGGTGAAGAGGTCCACTCTGTCCATACTGAGGTCTTGGAAAGGGGGAAGAATAACAGGGGTCAACAATCCATCTGGTATCCCTCTTCAAATTTCCTAGCCAATTTTAAAGACTACTGTTCTGTCTTATTTGATCTTCTGCACTATTAAAAATGGTGGAGCCGGGCGCTGGTGGCTCACGCCTGTAATCCTAGCTACTCAGGAGGCTGAGATCTGAGGATCGCGGTTCAAAGCCAGCCCGGGCAGGAAAGACCGTGAGACTCCTATCTCCAATAAACCACCAGAAAACTGGAAGTGGCGCTGTAGCTCAAATGGTAGAGTGCTCGCCTTGAGCTGAAGAGCTGAGGGACAGCGCCCAGGCCCGGAGTTCAAGCCCCACAACCAACAACAAAAAAAAAAATGGTGGAAAACGATCAACTTCTTTTTTTTATTATTCTCCAACTGTATTTTACTCTTTTCATTTTATGAAATTTGTCTTTTTCACAGAATGACTGGTCACAGTTGTGCTTAAGACATCTATACTTGACCATAGACCTTAGAGGCTACTATACCCACTGATTTTTTTAAACTTTTTTATGTTAAGTATGAACATCTTCTTGATACTTCTTTAAATCACATCTCATTTATCTTCTTAGGAACTGCTCATGCTCATTTTAAATACTTTTAACACCTGTAATCAACCACAGAACTTGATAGAAGTAGAGGTATACTGGCTAATGATTAAGATGTGTACAGAGGAAAAGTAAACATTACTAAATATGAATGTAACCCTTATCAACACAAAAGTGGACAGTTTTTTTCTCAATAAAAAAGGCTATTCAAAAAAGGGACTCCTTTCATAAAGATTTGTCATTTTTAGGAATTTGAAAGGAACTTGAGTATAAGTTTTGTTTTTTACTTTGTATCTTAAGGACACCTTAGGAAAAATTAGTGTCTTACACCACAGAATGGCATTTGCAGAATGTAATATTATAATGACAGTACTGGGGTTGATTACTGCGGACTGTAAGACTCTTTGTGTATTAAATGGTTACATCTTAACAATGTATTTAGAATATTGGTCCAATAACATAAAAATAGAGGAAAAGCATCTGGAAATTTATCTCATTCAGTGTTCAGAGATAAAAAGGTTAACATTCTTTCCATTATTTCCCATAGGTAAGTCCTTGTTCACACTGAAATCTGATGATAACTACATTCTGGCATTTTTCCAAACTATTATATGAAGAGGATGCTGAAGGCCATCACTATACAGCACACTGCCACATATGGACTCTTTCGTTCACCAATTTTGGCGCACTTCCAAAATATTCCCAACAGTCCAGTTTTATTTCTGTCCAGGATGCTGGGTGCCATGGATCGGATGTAAGCACATGTACATATAAGCAGCAAGATTACAGTCAACAGACTCTGAAAGTTGAAAATGGCAGACATAGTGAGACCAGATAGCCCAGCTACCCGATCAACTTCTTTCATCTTTTGGAGGATGACACATCAAGAGAATGCATGCTAAGTCCATGATGCCATGACACAATTCACCTTGGAAATGAGGTGATTCCTGGAGCAGGGATTCAAGTCCTCAGCATCCATCTCAGAGAAGTCCTACCCATGCCATGCATGTATTCATAATGGCATCGTCTTGACCTTCTCCGCAAGATCATGTGGATCTATGTCCCAATCACTGGCTCTGACTCTCAGCCCAAGCTAAAGAGTGCAAACAGACTACAATATGATGCTTGCATTCTCTCCCCCTTCCTCCCACTCCCCAGTGTTTTGCTGCTCAGGTCTTTTAAAAACCTTTTAATTTAAAAGGAGCTCTGAGCTCAGTTCTGGGGCAAATATAATCACAAGGAGGCATGATGAAGTGGTTTCTTAAGTGGGTAGCCTGAGGCAGAGCCAAAGGGCAGCCAAGAGTCTGAAAGAGCTTCTAGAACAAACAATTTCAAGGGAATTGCAGGTTGGTGCAGTCTTAAATAGCTAAATCTCTCCCTATGCTTATTCCTACCCCCAAAGCACTGAGTGCCCAGGGGGTGGCAGGTTCTACCTTATCATTGGTGCTCTTTCCCTAACAGACATATCAGGGGTGGAGAGCGAGTGAGTAGGAATCAGATAGAATGACACAGAGATAAGGAGACACCTATATACAATGATAAAATCATAACCCATCTGTTTAGCTTCACATTTTTTTAAAGAGCCCACATTCTTACCTGAGGGTTTGATGTTCATATCGAATGAGATACAAATCAGACACATCATTGACCCAATAATAGGTGTCACACTCGTGGATCAGAGCAAACCTCTCAATCTACTCTTTTTCCATGTGAACTCGATGGAGCCACTCAATCTTTCACAGTAACCATTTTTCATCAAATAAAAGTGGGGTTAATGACCCTTGCCTCAAAGGGTTTCGGTGATGAATAACTGAGATGATGGACTTGTACTGGGGAGGCAACTTTGCAATAAGTTAGTTTCCCTTCTGACAGTGGGGATGATGGAAACAGACACTTCTATGGCTTCCCAGGGATGGAGTCACTGAAAGCCTAGAGGTAAGAGGGTCAGACTTCTGAAGGTTCAGCTTCCAAGCAAGCTGAACCACAGAGCCACAGGCTGAAAGCCTGAGGGATGCCTGCAAGGATACAGTTTCAAACCTTTTCAGGAAGCAGGAAGGGAGTGAGGAAAAGACATCTCACAATGGACTTCAATGGAGGACACTTGGATTTTTTTCAACAACCATTCTGAGACCAACCCTTGAGACAGAGTTGTTTGCCTTCCCCGCAAGGAAGCAAATCCCACTGGGAAGGAAGTAAATTTAACTAACAGGTGAACTGTAAAGCTGGAATATCTCCTGTGGAAAATGAGAAGGGTAAGATTTCTACCCTTTGCCACCTGGTTTAGCTTCTGACTGACCTTCACATCTGGACAATTTTTGTCTGTCATCCTTTGCTTTAACAATTATGCAACATTTTCAAGGCCTACTACAATCAGTTCCTCTACTACATTTTTAGGTGTGAAGAAGGCATTAAATTTGCCTGTCTGCTTTTCTTATGATCATAGTGTTTCATATATAGTAAACAAACAATTACAAATATCATGACTGAAAATGCAATCAACCAACCCCTGGTCCTGAAGAGGGTGCCATTTCTCCCTGAAGCTTATTTGTACCTTGTTTGGCTCAAAGCTGATTCAAAGCCCCAAGTGTCCAGTCGCTTAGTCTAGTGCTCCTAACAATCCATCCAACCACGCTTGCCCTGCTTTCGCGTTGCCATTGCTAAGTAGAACAATTTCCTGCTTTCCCATTTTAAAACATTGTTGTGTGCTATTTCAATTTCAAAAGTAAGGCACAAAGACAGTAATGAATCACTGGTCAACAAAAATTTTAAACCCTGTGGTGGAATTCCAACATCTTTTTTCTCTAGTAATTGATAAACAGTAATAGTTAAATAAAGATACAATCCCAAGTTACAGCCTTGACTAATTCTTTCACCTTGGAATCTCGTGAGAGTTATCATGTGTACAAAGTTTAGAGCGTATTTCTCTATGTGCTGACTCCAGAGAAGTGGACCCTGAAAACCTCAGGCCTCTCTCTTATTTTGTTTTAAATATTTTATTGAAGTAATAAAGGCCATCACATAAATCTGAAGGCAGAACAAAATGTTTTTGAAAACGCATAAAATAATATTGTTCTCAAAACCCTGATGTGCTCTTAGAAAAGGATCTCGCCCTTAATCCATTTCTCACTGGCACCCCAGCAGTGGGTAACAGCAAGGGAGAGTTTCAGAAAAGCACACATGACAGGGTAGAGAATGAAGCTGAGGGATCATCTCCAGAAAAAGGAGCCAGAGAAGAGCCACAGACAAGCAGCAACACATGGCAGAGAGCTGCTCATTGGACTTGGGTGTGTTCTGGGAATATAGGGACACTGCCCTTCAAGGAGTTGTTCATGAGTACATGAGAGAACCCTATTGACAGTGGCCACCATGCTGTCGTGATGTTTTCCTGCCGTGAAGGTTCCTGTAGTGAATTAAAGCTCTATGTTGACCAGGGAGCTTGGTTTTCCCAGTACTGGCACCTACAACCCCAGCCTCAGCCAGTTACTCTAAACCACACACCGCAGGCTACCTATAACTCTGTGTTGTACTCTGGTTCGCATGGGAATGTTTGCTTTCTAGGCTTCCAAACTCTCATTAATCCTCCCTAAGCCCCTTTCCTCCACCCCTGGCCTTCTGAATGACCTCATTCCCCAGAGCCTGGGACATTTAAAGTGCCTCCATCTTTCTCCCTTATCCCAGCCATTTCTAAGGAGAAGGGTCTGATCAATAAATTCACCATGAGATATAAAAGACTAATAAAGTTTAATAACTTGCCTCTCCCAGGAGTATTTGCATTTTAACAGGGGAATGGAAGCCAGAGCTAAAGGAATTAGGCTGAAATGGTACAATTTCAGGCACCATCGAGCAGCTGAGGGAGGCACTGGGAGAGAAGGAGGACTCCACAGCACCCTTGAGACAACCTCGCTGGAGGCTGCTGCTCCCACGTCAACCAGCAGCACGTCAAAAGGGAGACAGAACAAACACACCAGCGCCATAGACTCTTCCTACTGGTTCACTCCTGCTGGCTGGCTCATCTTACCGAGTGGTTTGCTCCTCCTCCTCTCCCCTGACTCACTCACATGCCTTCTGTTTCCATCTAAACTCACTGACCAGTCTCTCTAGTGGACTGGAGTCTATCTATGCTCACTGGCAGCTTCAATGTACCAGTAATGGCTTAGTGGTCAAGAGCATAGTGTTGAAGTCACTTTATCTGATTCCCCTGCAGGTTCTGTTCCTTGTATTTATGTGGCTCTCCTTCAGCTTACTTCTTGGCAAAATAACACTAATAATAGTGCCTACTTTTAAAGGTTAAATGAGAAGCTACATGCAAAGTCATACAAGAATTGCTTAGTAAATATTTGATGATATTATCATAATACTGGCATCTCTTGAGTCCAAGAGCCTATGGCCCAGTAGCAGAGATAAGCATGCAGGAAAATAACTTCCAAGTATGGAATTCTCTGGTAACCATAGAACAAATGTATGTTACTGAATTAAATTCTTACAAGAAGCAGGAGAGGGCAATGTCCGAAGTATAGCAAGTCACATACCAACAGAATAAAGGCAGGAAGCAGGATGAGAGTAGACAGCACAGGAGCTTGAATTTCACAGATAATCTGAGGTCTTCTTAAATGGTGACTTTATTTGTGACAACAGGGAAGATAAACGAGTCACACAGGGAGCCATGAAGTGGCCATTTGCAAACCATGGAGGTCAGACTTGAGGACTTTAATGGATGCAGTCAATGGAAGGAGGGCAGGGGCAGTGAGGTAGCACTCTTCTTATGAGCCTACAGCTGTCTCTGTCTCATTTTCTCTCATACTGCTTTGAACCATTGTTCCCCAAATACATTCATATTTCAAGACCTCGGGGCTGTGGAGTTCAAGATTAGTGAGCAAGAAAGTTGTCTCCATTGAAACTATTTTGAGACTTCGTTGGGTTCTCAGGCAGTCAGACTGCTTTCCCTCCTTTTATCCAGGCCTCGGCTTTTGCTTTTCACTCTACCTTCCTTTCATTTCCCAGCATCTCATTGCTGTGACTTTGGGACCAAAGAACGTATTTTTTCAAGTGTCACATAAAAATGGACACTCTTTTCTTTGTGTGTGCATGCTCCTTTCTTACTCTCAGTGCCCCCGACCCACCTCCTCAAACTTTTCTCTGGAACTGGAGGCAACGTCTGAAAGGGTGTGCCTCCATTCTTCCCAAGGGGCACAGAGACTCCCTTCGTGCTTTTCTGAGTCCTTGGGACAGTAAGGATTTGCAGAGCTGTGAGACAGGCATGAGGGCACCCCATGAGGTTTACATAACACAGGGGACTCTGAATTGGGTTTGAATTAGCAGTGTCCCCATTGCTTCTCCCAGCACAGTTCCTGGAGATGGATCCAGAGGGAGGAGAGATCCAGGTGGAGAGTAAAATGAGAAGACCTTGATATGCTTACAGGTTGCTCCCTGGAATAACCAGGTTTCTCGAAAAGGGACAAAAATCCAATGGGTTGCTTACACACATTCCACTACCCTGGGACCCACTACAGGGTATATTTGATTCCCAAATTCTAGCCCCTTAGTACCTTCACAGTGACACGAAGTGGTCATTTGCAAATGATGGAGAACTTCCTCAGAAAATGGAGGGTGAATAGAGTGGGAAAATGTCAACGACTTAACACCACCCATGACCTTTCAGGTAGGGACCAGAAATTACTTTCACAGCCTTTACCATGGACTGGTTACAATTGTAACCAATGGAGATATAAACCAATCACTCATCTGCCAGAGAATGGTATCCAGAATTATTCTTCCTGCAGTCGGCCGTGTTTCTTGGAAGAGACTCTCATACATTTGGTCGCTTAACCTAAATCTCT